GTCCTTGTTTTAAATATTCAGGATGGAATTTTATATGCTTGCCATCTGTGTCGTTTTACGGCTAAAAATGATCAAAACCATTTCCAAGAGCGAGGCCTGGCTACGCATCCTCGGGCTACTTCGCACTGCGTTTGCAAAGGGCAGCTTGGTGGCTTTGGCTGCGGCTCTGAGCACCCTGCCCACGCCTGGAACCGAGTCAGGAGCACAGAAAGTTTGGCAAAGAACCAGCAAGCACCTAAACCGAGCCGGATTAAGAGACCTGTCTGGCATTCCGTGCGGATTTCTTCACAGGAGTAAGGAGAGGACCTGATTCTGGCTGGAGCTCTTATGAAACTGTAAGACTTTTACTTCAGTCCCTTTGCATCTCCACAATTTTGCAACAAATGAGGCAAAATCCTGCAGCAAACAAGTCCTGAACCGTGCCCGGCCCCACTCAGGCGGCAGAGCTGCTGGGGCTCAAGCGTCGTATCACCTAACGGGAGATGGTGTCAGGCCGATCAGGTTGCACAGGCAGCCTAAATGTTTACATTCCCAAAGGTCTTAGTGCTTAATTTGTTTAATTTTACCATCTTAACGATGCCTTTTAAGACAGCGCTGCTGTCATTGCTACTGGATATTTAGCAAGTGAGACCGTGCGTGTGATTCCAGCCTTGTTTGTGCCTGGACCTCAGTGAGCTTTGACTCAGATTTAATTTCTGATTTTCAACTGTTATGTTTCACAGCTTTCAGAGCAGTGCCACGGGAGCAGGACGGCGTTCAAGCTCCGTGCAGGCAGAGAGCTCATCTTACCGTTCTTTTATAAAGGCTTTGACCCAAATGGTTCTTTCCCAATAAGATGTTGGAGTCTCCAGAGCCGGTGCCGGGCAGAGTCCACCCTTGGGATGCTCCTAAAACCGCAGTTGACTCTCTCAGAGTCCTGTGCTCTCACCAGAAAAGCTGAGCTAATCTTTGAAGCTTACAACTGATTTTCCCTTCCAGAGTACCTTGTCAGTGAAGATCTTCGGCTGAGAACGACAAAACAGACACAGGCACGGATCATGAAGTTTAGCTGCAAATCTGATTCAGAAGTTTAGGAAATACAGCTTCCAACACTTCCAAAATGACCCCAGCTTCTTACTTCCCCTTAGCTGTGCTGGGAGTAGGGAATGCCTGTGGTCACGGGTTGCAGGACTAGGCAGCTCTAAGCAGGTTTCAAAAGCCAAGAATGAGTGGAAGTCTTAACTTTTAAAGGCTTTTAGAGTTTCCAAGACTGTGATGTGCTGGGGAGGAACCAAAACAGTTTTGGAGACAAAAGACCAGCAACCTATTCGTGTGTCAGCCCAGCTTCGTCGGAAAATCCAGCACCAGTGAATCATTTTTGCTGGATGTATGCAAAGCTTCTGCGGGATCTCAAACACAAACGAGAAAGACAAACGCCCAAGCGACTTCAAAGCGGTGCAGCCGGACAGATCTGCGCGGCAGCCTGTCCACCGGCGCTGCTCAGCCCACTCCCCGTCTGCTAACAAAGCGGCTGAGTGGGTGCCTGCTGTCTGCCACATTCGCAGCAAGACTCAGCGCTTTCAGCAGCTCTGAAATATGCTCCATTTTGGGGCAAAGCTGGCCACAGGCCTGCTGTATAGCGTACACGCTTTGGGGGCAGTCACCGTGACGCAGCAGCAGCGTTCCTGGCTGGCTTTGTGGCCAGGTTTGGCATCGGCTTTGGTATTTCCAGGAAATAACGTGGCAGCTCTTAAAGGCATATTTCTGTCTCCTCGGAGAGAAGCCTCTGACCCTGCGAAGGGGCTTGCACGGAACAACAGGAGCTCCCTGTGCCGAAACCTCGTAGGGCCACCCAGGGTGACAGAGCTTTTTAGGTTTGCCTTTTCAGGTCAGCACCAGCGCTGCAGCCCATGGCAAATGGGGGAAAACCTGCATTTGGGGACACTGACTCCCTGGACCCCCAGGAAGGTGAGGAAGTTGGAGGTGCCAGGTATGATCGCTGCTTCTCCAAAAGCAAACAGCATTCCAGAGAGCAGCATGGCCAGCCCGCTTGAGTCAGGGCCTCAGAAGTCTTATGCTCCAGGCTGGTTTTCACTGGAAAATGGAGCAGCCACTGGCTCCCAGGCAAGCCACCTTGAAGCAGAGGGAACCCCTGTGTCCAGCTGGGGCTGTATGTGAGGCTGAAGAAACACAAGGTGGGAGCCACCCGAGAGGACAACTCCAGAAGCTTGCAGTGCTGCTGCGGGAGGCCGAGGTGGGGAGGAGGAGGATGGCTGCTCAGTGTCCCCACGTCTCCGATTTCTGTAGGCGCGGGTCAGTGGCCGGCAGAGGAGGAAAGGCCCTCACCCAGACCGGCTCTGAGAGCTCCAGGGTGAAGTGCAGCCCGGCAGCCACGCCACAGACCCGCAGCAGACACCGGGCCCTCAGCAAGAGCAGCGAGGAGAAGACGAGAAGCGGGACGAAAGGCTGACGAGAGAAGCAGGGGGTGGGTGAGCGGGACCAGTGGCAGGCCCACAACAAGCAGAAGGGAACAGTGGGGATGCCCAGAGAGGGGTGGTGGGAGCGGAACC